GGGGAGATCTCCCATGCCTTAGTCAGCCAGTCCGCCAGGAGCCAGGAACTCTGTGCGATGCCAACGTCTCTACAGAGTTTACAAAAGGCAGGCGCTGGGATATATCCAGTGCAACCAATGGACCTGTGCGTGGGGCTTAACACAACACTGCCCGTCACATGACAGCCCTGGCCGCTGGGCATTTATTCTGGGTGTATACACAGTTTATGACTACATCGCTTTCTCATTTGTGGCTTTTCATTATTATTTTAATCAGCATTAAAATATTTATATTAAATTAGATTTCAAAAGCTATTTTGGGGAGACGATTCCTTGTAAGTAGGGGTAGTAATAACACCAGAGACCAAATTTCTCAGAACATTCCAGGTGTGGGTTTTTTGTCCTTTTTTTTTTTTTTTTTCCCATTTCAAAACTCTTTCCAGGGTACCTACCTTCCCCTTTCCTCCACCTTTTTTACCCTTGTCCCTGTGGCCTCATACTGGACAACCAGCCTGAGGGAAACAAACAGATGCCCAGGGCCTCCTTCAGCTGAAACTTCCATCAAAACTTGATACCGAGGTTAGGGAAGCATCGAGGAGAAGGAGAACCACTTTACTTGGATAAAATTCTATTAACATTCATGCATGTGGGCTTTCTGGTGTGACTGCCAGTACAGATGATATTTTTAAAGAGCTAAGCTAGTGTACTGCCCTCTCCATCCCTAAAATTTCTGTCGACAACTTTTCTAGTCCATTCCTTTTAAAAGGCCAGGACCCACAGCAGACCTGTGTCTGCTTTGAATAAAAAAATTGCTTCCCTCGTTGGATTCAGCCAGAAACTCAGTGACATATAAAAATAACATGCACATTATCAAGTGAATGGTAACTAGACCTTTAGACAAAATTTCAAAGCGTTACATTGTAAATGAAAATTCTGGCAATCACATAATTATTCATTAGGCATGTATATTTAATTTAACACTATTAAAGGTTAATGCCTAAGTAGCAAAACTGGTCACAGAATAAAGAATGAACTGAATGTTCAAACATCTCTATGCATTAAACTTCAAACTTTACTGCAGTACAGTTGAATGACTAGACGCCTACAGCATTTGAATATTGTTTTGGATTATGTAAAAGGCATTGCTAAAGTACCTCTTAGGCTTAATTTTTATTACTTGTATTAAAGGAACAGCTAATTACCACATGACAATATAATGACTCTAGCATGTTTGGGCCAGAGACCAAAACAATGACTCTCAGCCCACCAAACTCCAACCTGCCTGTGAATCTAGGGGAAATCATGGCCTTTTGTCTCGTTAATGACTTTCGATGCCCTTAAACCCCACACAAGTATTGAGGGGTCTCATTCTGAATGTCACAAACCTCTGACCTCGGCAGTTCAATTAGGGAACCATCTAGGGGAGGCCAGGGCACACACCTGTGCAAGGAACAGGAACACACGAAATCCTGCAAACCTGTCTCCCTTGCCTCCTCCAAGTCAACATGCTTTATTATCAGTTTCATCCACCGAACGTGACAAACTTGCAAAGTGTTTTACAATCATCTGATAGTTAATTCCTAAAACACTCTTTGAGGCATTATATAGCGCTCATTACGCAACAGAAGCCTCGGAACATAATTACAACAACAACAATACCATCACCTGTATTTATCCGGCACCTTCTCCTAAGTACATGTAACATGACCTCATTAATTCCAGCTGTCACAGAGGTCAGGGAAGGGGGTCCTGGCATCCCACCCGGGGACAGGGGGATGAGAGTCATCGGCGAGGCACACAGGCACACGCTATTCTAATTAAGATTTCTGCTTCCAGAACCAGCAGTCAACTAAATTATACCATCTCTTCAAATACTAATTTAAGAAGTATTTGCTACGCATCTCTCTGCTCTGGGCAAGGCCTGGGTCCACTGGGATGGACAATCGGCAGAATTAGCCAGGACCAGACTCATAGTAGAGATAAGCCAAGTTCACAGATGACCAAGACAAAGTAAGGAGGGCCACAGTGAAGATCAGATAGGCAGAAGCCCACTCCCAGATGGAAACAATTGGCAAAGGTAAACTTTTTTTTTTCTTTTTTTAAGAGGAGATAGAATTTAGGCCCATAGAGACTGTGGGGGCAATCAATCCTTGTGGAAGACGCAGCAAGTCGGAGAGCAGGATGCACGGAAGTGCCAGGCAAGGCCAAGAGAGCACGTCAATCTAACTTGCCATCTACTATGTACGTTGTATGACGTCAGGACTGTTTTAGGTGCTTGGGGTGGGGGACATTGAGGGTGAAAAGACAGAAATCCATGCTCTCAAAGGCTTGACATTTTACTGAAATGAAGGAAACCGATAAAAAAGCAAAACTAAACAAAATACTTTAAAGTACTGCCAAGCAGCAGTAAGAGAGGAAACAGGGTGTGGGAACGGGGAATGAGCCCTGGAGACAGATGGACAGGGAGGACCTCTTGGAAGAGGTGGCCCTGAGATTAAGATCTGGGTGGCAAAGAGGACAGACTCTGAAGCTCTTGGCAGAGGGAAGAGCAGTGCAAAGGCCCAGAGGTGGGAGTGAATGTGGCATACTCCAGGCACAGAGAAAAAGCCAGGAAGGCTGCAATGAAGGTAAGAGAGAACCATAAGCAACACAACATCAGTGACTGAGGTGAGGCCTGTGCTTAAGAATCTAAAGAATATGAACAAAGTTAAGGAGAAATGTAGAAGACATCAAGAAGAATCAAAGTGAATTCCGGATCTGAAAATACCACATCTGAAGTGCTCTGCCGGTATGCTAAGCAGCGCATCAGTCTCATAAAAATACATTTGAGTCAAGTTTGTATTCAGCTCTACTCCTGGTGGGAAAACCCACAGAGAAGAGGACCCTTGCAAGGGCCATTGGGCCTCGAGAAGAAAGCAAGCTGCAGTACTTGAACCAAAAAAAGGTTTGTTGGTTTAGTGGCAAAGTATTTAAGAGTTTTAAGCTTAAAGATGAGTTGCGCAATTTTCTTTTGAAAAGTTAAATGTTCCAAATTAGCTGCCCTGTTCTCTGATGGCAGATGGCTATCAGTAATATGCTGCCTGGCAGACATTTTTGAAAAAAGAAACACACATATCTATGTCTTTGAAGTAGACGTGATGTTTTAATACTGGGTGGGGGGAAAAAACACTTCTTGAAAGAAACTCAGGCTATAGTGATAGCAGTTTGAAAGCAGACATTTGGAAACATTCCCATCAACATCGAAACGTATGGGCAGGGACCCTGGGTGGCTCAGTAGTTGAGCATCTGCCTTTGGCTCAGGTCGTGATCTGGGGATCCTGGGATGGAGTCCCGCAACAGACTCCCGAGGGAACCTGCTTCTCCCTCTGCCTATCTCTGTCTCTCATGAATAAATAAATACAATCTAAATAAATAAATAAACTTATGGGCAAAGACAATGTCCTTTACAAAAATGTCTCAATCACTAAAAATTACTGTAAAATTCCAAAGAAACAGGATAATTCGGGGTGGGGTGGGGGAATAATACAAAGAGAACCAGAAATGACAAGAGATAATGGGATTTAGTTGACAAAGACTAAATAGCTATTATACGCCTGTTGGAGGACTTAAAGAAAAATATGAACACTATAAGAAGAGAAATGGAAGATACAAAGAAGAATCAAGTGGAACTCTAAAGCTTGAAATACAATGTTTGAAAGAAAAAAAAAATTCCCTAGACTGGCTTAACATCAGATTAGACCTTACAAAAGGAAAAAGATCAGTGAATTCAAAGACACGTCACAGAAACTGTCTGAATAGATAAAAAGTTACTCAAATCTCAGCAACCTGTGCTATGGTACTAGGTGATGAAAAGGGCAAGGGGTACATTTGAGGAAACAGTAGTGAAATATTACAAATTTGGTAAAGGCTATCAACCTAAAACTCCAAGAAACTCAACAAACTACCAACAAGATAAACACAGAACACCAATAAACATGATCAAATTGTTGAAAAGAAGAATAAAAAGGCAATCTTAAAAGCCAAAGAAAAGAAGCCTTGTTCTATACAGAAGGAGAAAGATAAGACTAATTGGAGACCTCCTGTTGGAAATAAAGCAGGTCAGGGGTGCCTGAGAGGCTTAGTCAGTTGAGTGTCTGACTCCTGATTTTGGCTCAGGTCCTGGGATCGAGCCCTGTGTTGGGCTCCCTGCTCAGCAGGGAGTCTGCTTGAGATTCTCTCCCTCTTTCTCTGCCGCTACCCCTGCTCATTCTCTCTCTGTCTCTCTCTCTGATAAAGAAATAACTCTTAAAAAAATAAAGAAAGCAGGTCAGTCCTGAGAGAGAAAGAAAAACAAACAAAAATTCTCAACAGTTTTATACCCAACAAAAATACCTCAAAAATGAGGCTGACATTGGTTTTGCTTCCTTCAGGTGAACAAAAGCTGGCAAAATTCACTGCCAGTGTACCAATGCTATAAGAAATTTTTTAAAAAAATTTATTTATGATAGTCACACACACACACACAGAGAGAGAGAGAGAGAGAGAGAGAGGCAGAGACACAGGCAGAGGGAGAAGCAGGCTCCATGCACTGGGAGCCCGACGTGGGATTCGATCTCGGGTCTCCAGGATTGCACCCTCGGCCAAAGGCAGGCGCTAAACTGCTGCGCCACCCAGGGATCCCTGCTATAAGAAATGTTAAAGTAGATGTTAAAGATTGAAAGAAAATGGTCCAGATAGAAACCTGGATGGGCATGGAAGAATAATCAATACTGGAAAGGGTATACATATGGGTAAAAATAAAGTAATATTTTTCTCATTTTTAATCTCCTTAACAGGTAACTGACTTAAAAAAAAGATTTTATTTATTTATTCATGAGAGACAGAGAGAGGCAGAGACACAGGCAGAAGGACAAGCAGGCTCTCCATGGGGAGCCTGATATGGGACTCGATCCCAGGACCCTGGGATCACACCGAGCCAAAGGAAGATGCTTAATCACTGAGCCACCCAGGTGCCCGATAACTGACTAAAAACAAAAACAGTAGTGCTCACATCAGCAGCACATATACTACAGCTGGAATGGTACAGGGAAGATTAGCATGGCCCCTGCACAAGGATGATGTGCAAATTTGTGGACTGTTTCATATTTTTTTTTGTTTTTTTTTTGTTTCATATTTTTTTAAGGTGAAAGAAAAAAGCAAAAATAGTAACAATGTATTTATTGTAGGGTTATAACACACCTAGAAGTGTAAGAAGTAAACAAAATCTTTTTTTAAAATAGATTTTATTTATTTATTCATGAGAGACAGAGAAAGAGAGAGAGAGAGAGGGGCAGAGGGAGAAGCGGGCTACATGCAGGGAGCCTGACATGGGACTTGATCCTGGGTCTCCAGGATCATGCCCTGGGCTGAAGGCAGCGCTAAACCACTGGGCCACCCGGGCTCCCCAATAAACAAAATCTTAAAAAATATATATATATATATATAAATAAATAAAAGAAAGCTGGAGCGCCTAAATCAAAATCAGACAAAGGAAACTCTAGGACATGAAATATTACTAGGGATAAAGAAAATCATTGTATAAACTTAACCAAATCATTGAGGTGCCTGGGTGTCTCAGTTAAGCATTTGACTTCAGCTCAGGTCATGATCTCAGGGTTCTGGGCAGGGAGTCGGCTTCTTTCTTTCCCTCTCCCTCTGCCTACCGTGCTCATGTGTGTGCATGATCTCTCTTTCAAATAAATAAATGAAATCTTAAAAAAAAAAAAAAAAAGAACCAAATCACTGACAAGCTATAACAATCCTAAAGATACATATACCCCAAAACCTTCAAAATATGAATCAAAAACTGAAAGAACTAAAAGGAAAAAAAAAGTCTACAATAATAAAGACTTCAAAACTGTTCTCACTAATAGGACAACTAGATATAAAATTAGTGTGGATAACACAAAAGACTTGAACAACACTATCAACCAAATTGACCTGATTGCCATCTATAGAACACTCCACTCAACAACTACAGAACATGCATTCTCTTCAAGTGCGCATAGACACTCATAAAGATAGAACATATGAGACCATAAAACAAATCTTGATAAATGTAAAGGAACAGAAATCATACAATGCATTTCCTGCAACTACAACAATAAATCAATGACATAGCCCCCCCACCCCTACTTTAAGAAGCTTGAAAAAGAAGAGAGAATAAAACCCAAAGCAAGCATAGTTAGTAAATATAAGAAGAGAGAGTAATAAAACCTAAATGGCAGTGCTGGGGGTGGCACAGATAAGGCAAGCAAAAGCTGTTTCTTAAAAAAATAATCATTAAAATAGACAAGCCTCTAGCCAGAATGATCAAGAAGAAAAAAGAATCCACAAATTCTAAGATTCAGGAATGAAAAAGGAGGTATCACTACACATATATCCTACAGATATTTGAAAGATAACAAAATATTATGAACAACACTACACCAATAAATTGGATTATTTATATGAAATGGGTCATTCCTTGAAAAACTACCAAAACTGACTCAAGAAGAAAAAAAATCTTAATAGTCTTATAAATGTTAAAGAACTTAAATGTGTAATGAAAAACTTTGCACCAAAGAAAACGTCAAGCTCAGATGGCTTCACTGGTGAACTAGAGAAGTTTTAGAGAAGAATAATAGGTATCTTACACACAATAATAGATATGGTGTAATATAACATTGATATTATAGATATCTTAAACCAACTCTTTCAGCAAATAGAGGAAGAGGCAGCACTTCTCAACTCATTTATAAGACCAGGACTATCTTGATACCAAAACTCAATAAGTACATTAAAAGGGAAAAAAAACCTCAAACAAGCAAAAGACTACAGTTCTATATTCCTTATGAACTTAAATGTGAAAGTGCTTAATAAAATATTAGCAAAATGAATCCAGTGAATTCTAAAAAGCACAATACATCATAATCAAGTTAAGATTTATCCTAGGAATACAAGGCTGTATTAAAATTACACAACCAATCAAACAATTTCACTGTACTAAGAGAACAAATGAGAAAAATTGTATGACCATCTCAATAGATGTAGGAAAAAAACTGACAGAATTTAATATCTATTTATGACAAAAACTCTTGGCAAACCTCATAAAGACTGTCTATTGGGCAGCCTGGGTGGCTCAGTGATTTAGCACCACCTTCGGCCCAGGGCCTGATCCTGGAGACTCGGGATCCAGTCCCACGTCAGGCTCCCTGCATGGAGCCTGCTTCTCCCTCTGCCTGTGTCTCTGCCTCTCTCTCTCTCTCTCTCTGTCTGTCTCTCATGAATAAATAAATAAAATCTTAAAAAAAAAAAAAGACTGCCTACTAAAAACCCCACAGCTAACATTCTTAACAGTGAAAGATTGAATGCTTTTCCTCAAAATTGGGACCAATGCAAGATGTCTGCTTTCACCACTTCTATTCACTGTTATACCTGATGTCCTAGCCAGTGCAAAACAAAACAAAACAACCAAGAAAAACAAATATTTGACATTACAGATTGGAAATAAATGTGGATACAGGAAACTTCAATAACATTATCAACCAATCTGACGTAACTGATATTTACGGAACATTCCATCCGACATCTACGAAGTACACAATCCCTTCAAGAGCACAAGGAACATTCAAGATAGGCTATCCTAAGGAATCTACAGAAAAACTTTGAGAATAATAAGTGATTTTGAAAAGGACACAAATATAGTATTATATAAAAATTAACTGCATTTCTATATAAATGTGACAGATGGAAAAGAAAATTATAAAGAAAATACTATTTACTATAGCATCCAAAAACATAACCTACTTGAGGATATGCTGGATAAAATATGTGCCAGGCTTGTATGTTGAAAACTATAAAATATTGCTGAGGGAAGGTACAAAAAACCTAAATAAATATGCCATGTTTGAATTGAAAGATTTAAGAGTGTTGTCAATTTTCCTCAGATTATCTACAGAGGAACCTTGATTAAAATCCTAGGAGACATGTTTATAAAAACTGACGAGTTAAATCTACAATATATATTGAAATTCAACTAGCTAAAAACAATTTTGAAAAAGATCAAAGAGGGGATCCCTGGGTGGCGCAGCGGTTTGGCGCCTGTCTTTGGCCCGGGGCGCGATCCTGGAGACCCGGGATCGAATCCCACATCGGGCTCCCGGTGCATGGAGCCTGCTTCTCCCTCTGCCTGTGTCTCTGCCTCTCTCTCTCTCTCTCTCTCTCTCTCTCTCTCTCTGTGACTATCATAAGTAAATAAAAAAAAAAAGATCAAAGATAAACGATTTATATTACCTAATTTTAAGACTGTCACCAAGACGTGTGACATTAACAGAAGGATAGACACACACAATTGACGGGATGAGCACTGGGTGTTATGCTATATGTTGGCAAATCAAACTCCAATAAAAAAATATACACACACAAAAAAGGATAGACACCCAGATTGATGAAATAAAATAAATGATCCCTTTTATTTAAAAAAAAAGAGGATCTAGAAAAGAATCTCACATAATGTCCATTAATTTTCAATGAAACTCGACCCTAACCTCTTATCATATATCAAAATTAACTCAAAATGTATTATAGGCCTAGAGGTAAAAGATAAAAATTATACAACTTCACTCAAAAAATATAAGAGAAAAATTATAACTTAGGCAGCAATTTCTTAATACACAAAAAGCACGAAAAACATAGTAATTATAGTAACTTGAGACTTTATTAAAATAAAAACTTATCCTCATCTGGGGAGAAAACATTTGGAATGTATGTATTTGACAAAGGACTTGTATCTAGAATATATACAAATTTACAACTCAGAAGTTATACAACCACCATCTATTGTTTCAATGGGCAAAAGATTTTAAACCCCTTATAAGTAAAGATCTAAGAATGATTAAAAGAAGGCACATGACAAAAAGAGCATCATCAGTCATCAGGAAAATGTAAACTAAAATCACAACAAAATACTATACACTCACTATAGTGTCTAATGTTGAAGAGCCTGCCAATACCAACGGATGGAGAGGACGTGGAGTAACTGGAACTCCCACTGGTTTCTTACTGGGGGATAAAATGATACAATTACTTTGAAAAAACAGCCTTGTAGTTTCATATCAAGCTAACCATGTGCCTACCCTCTATGTCTCAACAGTTCCAGTCCTGGGTATTTAAATCGTATGTCCACATCATTATGAATGAATGAATTCATCGTTATGAATTCACCGCTCACAAATGCTTTTATAGCAGGTTAATTACAATAGCCTTACGTTGGAAACAACACAAATGTCCATCAGCAGGGGGAGGGATAAATAAGCCCATTGTTATATTCTATATGGTGGAATCTCATTGCACAATGAGAAGGAAAGGACTCTGATACAGATGAACGACACAGACAAATCCCCACACACCATGCTGAGGGGAGGAAGCCAGAACAGAAGAAAGTACATAGCCAGCGACTCCATTTATGTGAAAGGTCAGAAATGGCAGATCTAATCGAAAGCCACAGAAAACAGATCAGTGATTGCTGGGGTCTGGGATCATCAGGGAACTTTTGAGGCAATGGAAATGTTCCATATCCTGATTGTGAGGGTGGTCAACACTACCAAATTGTACACTTAAGATGGGTGCATTTTATTGGATGCAAATCATGCCTCTATCAAGTTGACATTAAAATGTGATTTTTTTTTCTTGAGAGCAAAAAGTTTTTTGTACTGCTGATACAATATAAATTTGAAGTCACTTTTATTCTTCATCACATCTTTTTAATAATGTGATTTATAATGTATTTAATGCGTTTCTGTAATTACACATGGATATCATTTAAATAAGTCAATACGTAAGCATATGCTAGGGGTATGAATTCAAGACTTGGGGTACAAGAACAAGAGTAGTCTGGAAACCACTGACTTGGACCCATCCAGCTGCCGTGCAAAGGACAGACAGGAGAAGGGAGATGAAAGGGGGTGAGCCCGGTTAGGTGAGAGGTCATGGTGGCCTCCGTGAGGCTGGTGGTAGCATTTGGGAGGATAACATGAATCAGAAGATACTTAGGGAGAGAATATAAATGCAGAAAAGAAAAAGGCTAAGCAGAGTCTGGGATCTGCCCACATTCAGAGTCCCACAAGGAAG